TAAAACCAACTACTCTAGGTGTAGTTGGTCACCAAAAAAATTTTAAGAACTCTATTTGGATGTAAATTAAGGGATCGAATCTTTTGACTTGTATTTTCTTGGAAATTTCGTCAACAGGCGCGTAGACACCTGTTTGGCTGATGGTGATTCAGTTTGCTCCGAACATCACTTTACGGTCTACTTTTGCAAAATAAATTTAGATAAGGTGATGTCTTGAATCAGTTTGTAAGTCCCTCAAGTAAATGGCATTTTCAGCTACAAAATGCTGCCCCGGTTCACCATAAATAAGAGAAACAAATCATGAATATTGCAAACCTCAATGTATTCAAATATTTGTCTTTTGCTTACGAGGCATTGATTTAGTGGTTAAAGTTAAGATCTCAGATATTAGAACTTTTGGGATCAAATTTCACTACTCCTTCTAGTTTCTTAAGTCTCGCTCCTCTTCTATTGGAAAAAAAAAAGAAAATTTTTTTAAAATTTTTTCCCGCAATCATGGAATTGCAAGTTTAAAAACAGCCATGTAAATAAGGCTATACAAAAACTAATGCACAACTATGAAATTTGAATCCATGAATTTTTTACTTCTAATTCTTTACATTATTTTCTCCCTTTAAATTTGATTGTTGCTGCAACTAGACCAAATCATCATTATGTCAATTCAATTAACTGAGTGATTCCTTCCTCTGTGCTTCCGTCGCCTGACTTCGTCGCTATATAAATGGAGCCATCGCTTATCACTTCTCACAAGGGACCCCCAACCACAACACCCTCCCTCCCCCAACACACAAAAAAAAAAAAAACACTCCCCATTTAAAAAGTGATTTTTGAAAAGATACAAAGATAATTAAAAAATTTTTATAATGAATTAATTTTTTTTACTTTTTATTTTTGTAAATAAGGGCGAATCAGTATTAAAAGTACAAAATTATAGGTCCCATTTCGATCGTTATTATTAGGAGTTTTTATAGAACAATGTACTGTAACAACTTGACGTAGGTGAGATAACAAAGTCACTAAGAAATATGTTCACCAAAAATATAAAAATCTTTTGCAAAAAATCACAATCCACCTATATATTCAAAATTTTCAAATGGGGAGAAACCACCAATTCGTGTGATTATTGTGGTTGCACGTGATTATATTACACAGCATTGTGGATAAGGCATAGAATTTCCACTTGTTAACCATTAAGCCAGCTTTGTACAAGTGATAATTTGAAATTGCAGCTGGAGCTGGACTAGTGATTATTTCGCCACAGGGGCAAGTGTATAGGCCAGGAGGAGCCTAGGAGTCTTAATTCTTCGATCTCCTCACAATTTTCTTTTTTTTTTTTTTTTTGAAGGACCTCATCAATATTTTGGGCGCAATAATTACCGGAGCCGGTTGAATGGGCATAGAGCGGCCCACATCTATATATCGGAACTATTTTTTTTTTAAGCGGCCCACATCATATCGGCACTAATTTGCCCTAACGCATAATCTTTTATTTTCTTGATCATCATCTTGTTTCAATATCCAGATGTTAATTCACGGGTTAGAGGACGAGAATTATTCACTTAAAGTGTAAATCCCTATTATGGTCATCGACCGCATTCTCTACGAGACACAGTTGTTTGGATAAAATATTATTTGAAATAATTATTGTAACATACTTTGTGATGTGATATTTGTAAGAAAAAAGTTGATTGAAAATATAAAAAGATGAATTAAAAAATTGTTTATGATGAACCCAAAATATTATCTTAAAAAACTTAGCTATCCAAACACACCTGCAACCGAAATATTAATACTCTATGTGGTATTTTCACATGAATTAAATTACGTCCTCTGTCCCAAAATGTTGATCATGCTCTTTATTTTGATATATCCTAAAATATTTATCACTAGTCTAAAAACTCGTAATATGCACGGCTATAAAGAATGTTATGAAAAAAATAAATATATAGTTATGGGAATATGTAACACATAAAAATTTAATAAACAATAGTTTAACCTAGAAATGTCAAACAATTTTTAGCTACCCCTTCCCACTTCTACCTTTTATAAATCCCATCCTTTTCCTTGCTGAAATTTTTTTTTTTTTTTTTTAAAAAAACAAGTTTTAGCTGCCGTCTACCTAGTACAAACATGCATTACAAAAAAGAAAAAATGGTATTAAAACTTAAAACATGTCATATCAAATTTTAATAGATCTAAAACCAAATTATGTTTGCTAAATGCCAATTCATTTCTCAACCATCATGTCCAACATTCAGAAAATTCAAAAAGTATTTTGCCAAAATGTTAATTTCATTTCTTAATCATCATATCCATTACCTTTGGCATAAAATTCATACAATATCGAATTTATTTCAAGAAGTTAATTTTTAAATTTCAAAATTTTTGTTTATTTATTTGGCGTAAAAATATTCGATAGTCCATGATTTTACAATTTTCAATCTGGCCTCATATTTGTAAACCAATAATGTAATGCTTTAAATGTGTGTAACTTAAGTAATAGAACATTGGTGAATAGAGGTGAGTAAACTTCTTAATCAAGATATAGAGTATGACAAATAGAAGCATGCACAGTAAATAGCAAAAAAAATGTGTCATCAATGCACTATAATGTATAAAAATTAAATTTATCACAAACCTATTTTTTTTACTCTCCCCACCCCTTCCCACACCCTTCCCATCCCCTAAATTTTTCAAGACTAATTACATATATAAACTTCAAGATTGCCACAAAATTCTTAAGGGAAAAAATACTATTTATAATCTTGTATTGGTATTTCACTTGACATAAGAATAAGAATTAAGTTTTTCTTTTAGTGAAAAACTTTTTTTTTGTTTACTATTCTCTATCACAAATAACCTTCTTAGATAAAAATGGTTAAAGGCTCTATCTATATTTTGTGCAACCAAATTTAGACCATTGGTTGACTACATTTTATATTTTTATTTTGAATGGGAATTGAATTTCCTTCCCATAGCAAAATAAAAAAAATGTACATTTGTTGTTTCATTTACTAAATTTACTAGTCATTTTTAGCCTAATAATTGGATAAGTTGCTTTCCATCATAATAGTTTAAAATGTTGTTTCATTTTTAATTTTTATTATTTCACGTATTTTTATTTTAGTGTAAGTGAAAGGTTTGAAACCCGATATCTCTATTGGTCTAAAATGCACAGAGATAGAAATGTAATATGTAAAATCCAGCATTTGTCTAAATAATCTCATAATCGGAAAACACAAATAATAAATATAGAAAACAAAGTAGATCTTGGAGATAAAGAAAAAAGGAGTAAGCAAATTTTTACTGTAAGTTATTTGAGATATTTTTACTGTAGCACTTTTTGTGATGTGATGTATGTGAGATAAAAAGGTAATTGAGAAGATTAAAAGGTGTATTGAAAATTGTAATAATGATGTAAGCAAATAGATTTGGGGAAATAATCAGCTGTCCAAACAATAGTAATTTAGATTACTATAATACATACCCAAAAATATATGTGGATTGAAAAACTCTTTTTTTTCTCTCAAATGTTAAAGTCATGTGTATCATCAAGGTGTTAGGATTTGAAATAATTTAAATTTAGAAATGATGAGAATATATATAGTCTACAATCAAGATTTTGAAATCAACTCATTACATTTTAGGAATTAAAATAAATAATAAATCTACAAAAAGGAATTGAGAGCTTGGGAAGAATTTAAATTTTGAAATAATCAGAATATAGTCTACAATCAAGATTTTGAAATTAATTCATTACATTTTAGGAATTAAAATAAATAGACAATCTACAAAAAAGGAATTGAGAGTTTGAAAATAATTTAAGTTTTGAAATAATGAGAACATAGACTACAATCAAGATTTTGAAATTAACTCATTAAATTTTTGGAATTAAAATAAAAAGAAAATCTACATAAAAGGAATTGAGATTTTGGAAATAATTTAAATTTTGAAATGAGAATATAGCCTACAATCAAGATTTTGAAATCAACTCATTACATATTAGGAATTTAGACAAATAGAAAATCTACAAAAAAGGAATTGAGAGTTTAAAGGTCTAGGATGGCTTTTAACCAAAAACCCTTCCGTAATTTATATAGATATAGATGTTTACTACCTGTATCCCAAAATGTTTATCATGCTTTTTCATTTTAGAATGCTTCGAAATGTTTATCATATTATCAAAATCAAAGTTATTTTTTTATCTCTTTTTTCAATACTATCCCTATCTTTACATATATTTTATGTTAGATTAAGATTTGAATTTTGAATTTTTGAAGATAAAGTTCGAAACAAAAATACTAACATTACAATCATGACACTATTAATGTGTGTATTGATAGTGTGTATTGATGCATCATTATCCAGGCCTAAATCCAAAGGAAAAGTTCACACTGCACAGGAAGGAAATTAGTTTTTAAACATGTACTGCTAGCTTCCACTGGTCTTTACCGCTATAAAGTAAATGCACTACAATGCATTGTTGGTACTCCTCCTTTGTTTTCTTTGTGGAAAATCGAGATGAACCCATCAGCAGTTTCCCATTGACAATAGCTAACTTCTACTAAGAAAGGGTTCCCATGTCTCAAATCAATCAAATCCCTTTTCTCCTTACTTTATGGCAATTAACCTATCTAAATTCCCTCCAACTTTTGCTTTTGATTAAATCAGCTTCTGAAGCTTTACAGGAGACGGTCAGAATAAAGAAGAAAAGACTGCCAAATTGTTTTAAACTGTTTATTCCAATCTTAACAGCATCCAATAAAGCGAACGAGTTTTAAGGTTAATTACAAAGTAAATTACTAAGTCATCTCTGCTCATAAAGTCATAGTCCCACTTTCCAAAAAGCCAATTTTGACTGGAATCTTGAAAAGTAACGCGTTCCCAGAAGCTACTACTAGGTTGAATTTACTCGTCTCCTGTCTCATTATTCAACACACAAATTCTTTAACCTTACACAAGATTTTTTTTTTTTTTTTAAAAGAAAAAATGAACCACCATCCACAAAAACACAGCTCATGAATTAATCAAGGGTAACGGTAAGATCACTGGGCCAAAAAGCCTTGATACAGAAACGCAATATCAGATCGAGGTGCAGAAGACAAATGGAGTATAGTAGTATTAAATGGCAATCAAAGGATTTACCATGAACTGATCAAATGCATAGAGCAGGCGAGAATGTAATCAGGAAGATGCACCGTGGCCTTCTGACCATACCAATAGCTAAATCCAGCAACCGATTGAAAACCAAGTTGATTGAACTTGAAGAGTCCTAAATAGATGGGTATACCCCTACCTATGTGGACATCAAGATTTCGGGCTCGCAGTTGCTTAGAGGGACAAAGCTAGGAGTATGAGCATACATGGAAGCATTGGTTCTATACTCAAGTTTTCTGTCAAATATCCTCACTGTACCATTCTCCAAATTCAGGCCAAATAGCCCCCTGTTTGGCCATTCCAGTAGTAATTCTTTGCCTACGATCACAACAGGTTGGACGTTATGATTCGATCTCGAGGTGGTAAATGGAAAGCGGTCTACATCCAAGTCAATGCCAACCCTGTGCCATCTGATCCAAGATGGTCTAGTGCTGTTTCCGTCATCTTGGTGCCTCAAGATCCAGATGTTGATCGACTCTTCGAACAAGGAGGATTCACACAAGCAGAGGAAACCGCGATCATCCATTTCTACCAAATGCATCCTGCTGTGCTCAGGATCGTCCTTGCAGTATTGATTTTGCGGACCTGGATGAGGCATCACGGAGAATTTCTCTGTTTTCGTGTCCAATTTCATGATTGATTCTGCACAACGAGGAGCCAACCTAGTCCTCGGAAGGGGCGAGGGCGAACTCTGCCTTGCAATTGCATATCGATTTCCAACCATCCAGTAAAGAACGTTGTCTACGATTACCGGAGGAGTTTGAGCCCTGGGTTGGTATGAAAACGGAGCATCATCATCCTCGTACAGCTCTCTCCAGCAGCAAGATGTTTGTGATTCATCAGATTGTTCTGATTCCGAGTTCGACCCGCCACCCAAAACAACTATTCTGAACGGCATGCTCCCGTTTTCGCGTTGGAATCTTCCTCCCCAGAGCAAACAGTGCTGATCTTTGGCAAAAGGGTTGGAAAAGATTCCGTAAATCAGACCTTTAGGGGTGATTAATCTCACCTTCTGCCGCGTAAGGGGATTCAGGAGGACGTAGTGCTCCAACCCGGCGGTTGATCTCCGGAACTCCTCCCGGAAAATGACCAAGCCATTGGAAGAATACGAGAATTCTTGGCGATCGGATTTGGAAACCGGCCTGACAGAGTTAACGCTGATTCTACAACGATTGCTCTGCGGGGTTGCTGTTTCTTCTGTGGATTCACATGTGTCGACCAAATATATTTCCTTCTGCTCCCCATCAGCTTCCCTCTGCCGGACAACAATAACCACTGGAACGCTGTGGGGGAAATGCAACTGCGCAAATTCCTGAGTGGAGGTCAAGGCCTTCCATCTCCGACAGACGCATCGACATCTTAGGACAGATTTAGCCGGGAGTTTGCTGAGAATTTGCAGGAGGACTTCGTCGGGAATGTGTCTGTACGGCCTTCCTAGGATCTCTCCTAGTCCTAGTACTGCTAATTTGTTCCACAAGGCTGGAATCCAGGACAAGCATGCCGAGGTTATGGATGTCATGATTATTTTCAGAAGACGAAAGGGATTTATAGGGTTTTTCTTGAGAGTTTTGCCCATCCAAATCCCTCAGGGAACTAAAACTGAAGAGATCTGATCATGTTTTTGCAAGAAAAAAGATGAAGAAAAGGGAGGAGGAAATAGGAAGAAATGTCCATCTCTTCACTGCTAGGAAGTCACCAAAATTATGGTCTCTAACTTTTGTCTGATATTACCGTCACTAGTACAATTATTACGAGGAAACATCAATATGGTCCCCCCCCCTCCCCCCCCCCCAAGAGATGCTGTGAACGTGGTCCTAACGCGAAATAACTCTCACTATCTAGTACTCTTTGCTTCACTGATTTTCCTACTTGTATTCGTTGCTATGTACGGCTAATTTTGACTAACGCATTTTTCTTCCTTCAGGTTTTCAGGGCAAAAATGAAAGAGTCCCAACTTCCAACATCCAAAGCAAACTCCAAGAAAGTAGGCTCATGTCTCCTAATCCTCACTCGCTAGAGTCTTGAGAAAAAGGGGTTGGCAATCCAATTATCAGTAAGCGTTTGGTTCGGTTCACGCTTTAGGATCGGATTCGAATTTGAGATCAATCATTCAGAGTTTAGAATGAAATTATTCATTTTAATATATCTGTTTGATTCAATATGAGAAATGTTTATCATTACTATAGTTGATATTTGATTTATTAGTTTTTTCGAGATGAAATATAAAAAATTTTCAATTCTAACCTAACCTGTATAAAATTAAAACATGGACAATTGAAGATAAACCTGCTGTAAGCCATCACAAGAAAATGCATAAACTTTGTCAATAATCTTGTTGTCTAATTACAAGTTATCATTTAACATAAAATGTAATATGCCAATAATTACTTAGAAGTAATCTTGTGACATAAATAATGTTTTATCATCTTCATCTGGCCAAAAGGAAAAGATACTACACAAAATTACCAAATTCCAATTTTACAAAATCATTCTAGCCCAAGTGGATATAATCCCCACCAAAAACCACTATATTTCTGTCATATCTCAAAAGAACTATCTTATCTAATGTTTCAAGATAGACAACAATTTATCACCATATTAACTAGTAGCATTCAATTTTCCAAAAATTCATAACAAGCAGCCATGCTTTAGAAATTCATTATGTTATTCTTATTATTGTGCTCTTGTTTCTTTGTGATTTGTGAAGCACGAAATATGCATTGCATTGGCAGAGTTTTAGCCAAAGACTGTGCATTGAACTTCCACATACGGTAACAGTCATGAACAGATCATGAAAACAAGCGATGTACTTGCATTTAGGGATAGCAACGGGGCGGGGTTGGGGCGGGGGACCCCTCCCCCACCCCCGCCCCGTTGCCTATTAATTCCCCCGGACCCCTGCCCCGTCCCCCGCCCCCGCCCCGCCCAGCTTCCCCCGCGGGATTAATAAAATTGCCCTCGCGGGGTTAATAAAATTTTATTATAATTAAATTTTAATAAATAATCAAGTACTAAAATATCAACACATCATCAAGTTATTATTCATTGTAATTTTACAATTGAAACTCATAAAAACAATCAAACAAAAGTTATTTAAATACAATCCAACATGATGAAATAAATACAACTAAAATAGTCAAGTTTTCACTTTTGGTACAAATACAATCACTAATTCATTATTGTGTTTGTGCTTTTTTTTGAAAAAAAAGTGTTATTCTATTAAGTGTAATTAGAAATTTAGTATAAATGTATTAGTAAATTTAGTATAACTAATTAATAAATTCTATTAGTAGACATGTCTAATTATTCATATAATTGATAATATCAATTATATTACATACACTAATATACATTATATAATACATCTAACTAATAATATCATTATCATAAGTTTAAAACTAATTAAATTACATATTATATATATTTATTTATATATATATACTTTTTTTTTTTGCGGGTGGCGGTTCTAAACGGGGGGAAAAAATTCCCCCCCGCCCCCGCCCTGAGAGCCCCTCGCGCGGGCAACCGCCCCCATTGCCATCCCTACTTGCATTATTGAGGAGATCACTCCGACTGAACTCTAGGGGTATTAATAATTGTCTTGTGGAGAAATTTGCAAACCTTGAATGAATGATGAGTTACTGTTCAAATTCCTAGGAAATTAGGTAGTACGTCCTTGCCATGTTCCAAAATGCTTCCTTTCTGCTCTAGTTACCGACTTTACCGTACCATGTTTTGGTTCTAATTTGCAGTATTTAGCCACTTAGAATTGTTTCAGGAACAATAATGAAATTAGCAGCATTATGGATCTATACACTATAAAAAATTTTTAAAAAAATAACGTAAAAGCCATTAAAGATACAGACAACATATAAAGCTAATAATGAAGAGATCTAGAATATTTTTACTCTTAATAACCGATTTGTTGATTTCCTTTTTCTGCTGCAAAGATGTAAACCCAATCTTCTTAAATCCGCTTCTTCGTTATGTATTCCCAAAAGAAGAAAACCTTACATTAAAGAAAATGGAAAAAAAAGGTGTGCGATAAGATTTGTTGATACTCCATTGGTAGAGATTCTAGGAGAGAAGAGGCATCAGAAGAGCGTCGGCTGCTGATAGGGATAAAAGAGTGTGCTTGTTTTCAATAAATTGGATAGGAATCAGATTTGGGTTTTGTTCAAAACCTTTCAGGTTACTAGGGAGTTGGCTAACTCCAAATTTGTAAATATAATTCCAAAACTCCAATTCCTATAGTAATAATCCAAATAACAATTATGGGATTTATTCCAATTTTTCATTCCGAAACCCTCTTATCAATCGCCACCTTAGATACGCCAAGAAAATTTAAATCTAAAGTTTTTTTTTTTTTTTTAGAAAATGATAACAATTGTATAACTTATTTTATCCTAAATTATAGGGGAAGGGGAGTCTAAAAAGACTTATATTAGGAGTTAGTAGATATACAAATATTATTAGATTAAAGATGTGCTTTGACACCAACTTGATTTTTTCCGAGTTTGAAAGGGTGCAATATTAATTATGAGGTGCTGATCACAGTGTTATGCTCATGCATTTGCCTTCTCTGAGTGCTGGGTAAACTTTTCTGACTCCACCATTGACCAAGACTTATGCTCAAGTCAAGTTCCAATGTGAACCCCAATTCCCAAATGCAAACCAAACCCCCCCCCCCCCCCCCTCTGCTCTCTCTCTCTGTCTCCTAACACCAGCTCTGTGGGGTTCTCATCGGATTGACAATGCCGCCCTTTTTACCATTGGCTGGGCCTTTTGGAGTTTCTAAGGTGCTAATGTGTGTTAATTGGCTGGCTCTTCACCCAACCCTCACCTTAGAACCAGAACAAGGGCAAGCGCTGCTTCTTTTTAATCCTTTTCTTCATTTTACAGCACGGGTAACACAAAAACAAGCGCATATCAGACCAGTGACGGAGCCAGGATTTTTTTTTTGGGGGGGCCAAAATTGAAATTCCATTCAAAGATGACTAATTCATATATATATATATATATATATATATATATATATATATATATATCAACTCTCATAATATAAACTAAAATTGAAAAAATTTAGGGGGGGCCAATTTTATTTTACACACATATTTACATATTATGAATTAAAATTCTCAAAACTTAGGGGGGGCCATGGCCCCCCTCTGCCCCCCTTGGCTCCGTCATTGTATCAGACATATTATTGGAAAAAAAACGTTAGTCCATATCAACGAACGTTTGCATGATGCTGAAGCCGTTTGCGGCCCTGAAAAAACAGAACCGAAAGCTTTTATTAGCTGCAGTGGTTTCACGTCTCTCAGTTTCTCTTGTTGCTTCATCTTGGTGGTGCATTTGTACGACTTACTGATCACCAAATTTCACTTAACATATTTCATTAGTGGAACATTTCAATTCAATCTGCCATCTAAGTCCAACCATTCAGTTTTCCTTTACGTTTAGCATCAATGTGGTTCCCAGGGTGTCTGCTGATTTTTTGTTTCCACATGGTCAAGGTGATAGTCAAAAAGTATAAGCTCATATTCCTCAGGGGAGGACCGGAAGAGACATGCAAGTCGTCTCACTTACCTACCATACCGTGTCTTCTTTACTTTCAGTGTATGTGCATCTGATAAAGGAATTGTTTTATGCATCCTTAGTTGAAAATTCACATTAAAAATGTAGGTAGGATTGTAATTTATTCATAAATTTTTGTTTAATTGCACAATCAATAGATTATTTAACAACATTTTTATCTCATATACATCACATTAAAAAAGTGTTATAATATATTTTTTTTGAAAAATTATCCCAAATAATTTACTATCCAAACACAGTAATATAAGCATAAGCAAACTTATCTCTTTCAATTGCCTTTCCATGTGATAACTATTCTTTATTTTTTTCCTAGTAAAAGGATATATATATATATATAGAAAGCATCATTAATTATTTCTTGCTTACATTGAGATAGGGAGGGAATATTGTTCTTCATGTAATATACTATAGAAGAGCGACAATATTTCCATTTTTTTGGCTAAATTACTTATAACCTCTTGTAGTTTTGCATAATGCTAGATGGCCCACTTAAGGTTTCAAAATAGCCATATGAAAAACCCTTCTGTGATTTTGTATTAATTACGTGAAAAATGGACGGAATGCATAACCAGTTACGGCGATTATACAAGACATACTCCAAAAGTGCATGTGATGAAATCATACTATATACTTAACCCTATGATTTACATAAATATTCACTTTATTTCTTTGTGATTTTTGCACTTATCGACGTAATCCCCTTATAGTTTTACATAAAATGATTAAGCCATTGTATGATTTTTCATTTAAGTAAGGGCATTATTGATATTTTAACTAATGACATTGGATATGTTATTTTTGGTCAAATTTTCACTTTACATAAAATTATAGGAGAATGAAATGAATATTTTAAAATATTAGAGAATCGTGTGACAATAAATGAAACTATAAGGAGATTATTTGTAATTTTTTTTTGGTCTGATAGGAAATAGTTTAGGAGATGTGAGGACCCACTTCCTTTTATGGTCAAGGCAGTACCACTAGAGCACACATCTTTTGCTAACTCATGTACAACTGGTTGCCACCAACAATGGACACTTTTGGAAGGTTCTCCAACCATGCAGTTCTTCAAAAGTCAAAAGGGGCTTCTTTTTGTAATTTTTATTTTTATTTTACTTTTGTAA